TATTTCTGACTGGCTAAAGAATCTGCTAGACCACAGAGAACACAACCCGGGCAATTGGAATCGGCCCAGTGCCTGCCGTGCCTGAGAGGGTCTGATGGGAGTTGCATGAGAGGCCCCAGCACGACGGCTCCTCTCAGCGAACGGTCAGCATCATTGAAAAAGGAGGTTTTGCTTTCACTCAGCCAGTCCTTGGACCTCAGCTAGGTGGTCTTTTGCCCTGGATCCCATGCTTCAGAGGGCCTGGTTCTTGCCCTTTGTTAGTGATGCCTCTCACCATGGCCAGAGGGCCATCCACCCAACATCTCCTATCTCCTTCTAGACTGTCGAGCGGCAGGGACCGTGGCAGTCCTTATGCATCATCTTTAGCACTCTATCCCGGCTTCCGAGAAGTTAAGTGTAGATGTAAATGTAGTATGGGCTGCTGTTTTCTTAGGCTCCCTTCCACTGCAGCCGAGTCCCTCACAGCTGTGGGAACTTCTTGGAAAATTTCTTATTTAAAAGATCAAGTTGATTCACCACCTCAGGCTGAGGAAATAAGAAAATTTAAAATAACCTGGGTTGGATTCCACGCCAGTTCACAGCCCAGACGTGAGGGCAGCGAGGAGCGCAGACAGGATGCCTGAGGAGTTCACATGGTTGGCAGGACAAGCGCTATCTGGCCTCAGAAAGGACCTCCGCGGGGAAACCCATTCTGCTTTCAGAGGCGTTGGGCCAGAGGCTCATTCTGCATGTAGCCCACGCGTGCATCGCTCTACCACAACTGGAGCTATGAGTGCCTGAAAAGGAACTCAGCCTTCTGTGAGCCCACTGTCTGACGTGAAGAGACTTGATGAAGAATCCATGTTGACACCACACAACTGTTGCAGAAGAAGAATAATCTTGATTGTGGCAGAATTCCTCTTGAAGTGGCCTCAAATGTTTCCAGTCTCATCTCTACTTTCTGCTGCAATTCACAGCCAACAGATTGCTAGTCGCTACTCATTATGATGGTGGACCTGCACTGTAGTTTAAAACTGGTAAGCAACTTGATACCAGGTGGTTCTTGCCGAGACAAAGGTTTAGGCTCACCAGTCCTCTTCTTTTTCCCATCCCCCACGTTCCCAAGCTCTGTTAACAGCTCTACTACTCTCTAGTTCAAACTTTTCCAGAGTTCGCATGTGACTGGGATCATGTGACGCCGGTCTTCCTTCCTGTGCCTAACTTATTTCACTTAACATGATGCCCTCCAGGTTCATCTGTGTTACCACAAAGGATGAGATTTCATTTTTCTTGTGATTGAATAGTATTCCATTTTGCATATGTGTGTTTTGTATTTATTTCTTCACCATTCATTGGTCAATGGACACTTAGGTTGATTACATATCCTGATTATTATGAAAAATGCTGCAATTGATATGGGAGTGAGGATGTTTCTTTGGCATATTGATTTCATATCCCTCCCTCCCTCCTTTCCTTTCTTACTTTGAGACAGGGCCTCACTATATAACCCTGGCTGGCCTAGAACTTGCTATGTAGACCAGGCTGGCCTTGAGCTCACGGAGAGTCACCATCTGCCTATTGAATGCTGGGTCAATTAAAGGCATGCACTGCCACACCAAGCTTCATTTTCTTTGGATATAGTCTTTGGAACTGTTGAATAAAACGATAGTTCTGCTTATAATTTTTTTAATCCGTTTGTCCATACATCTTTACATCCCCCCCCCCATTTGTCCATATATCTTTACTTGCAAGTGTTCATTGCAGAGAGTCATTGGTCTGGTTTGAGGCCTCTGGTTTCTGCTGCACTATCGATACTGGGCCATCACTGGGACTCCTCGTGGATATCCTATTACTGCCCTGTGTCCTGGAGATCCTGCAGCTTTGGGTCTGCAGGACCAGCCCCTTCACTTGCTCTGGCCAATCACAGATCGGATAGATGTTATGAGGTGGGCCAACTCGTAACCCTGGTTCTGGGCCCTGGTAGTTGTAGGGTTGGTCAGCCTGCCAGCTCTTCCCTGTCCTCATCGCCAGGGTATAATCTCCAGCACTGCCCTGGCTAGTTCACCCCTTGTAGCAATGAGCAGGAGGTGGGGCCAGTTCTCCTGCTCTCACACCCTCAGGGGCAGCTCTTCCACACCTGGACCGTCAGGGCCAGGTCTACTGTGTTGCCCAGGCAAGGTGTAGGGGCCGCTCTTCCTAGTGCTGCATCTGGTGAGGGGCAGGGACAGCTCTCCCGCTCTTATGACCTCAGGGTCATCTCTCCCACCTGCCACAGGCAGTGAGGGGGTGGGCACATCTCTCGCAGCCCACCTCACCATCGTAGTGCGGGGACTACAGATGTGGGAGACCATGTCTGCCCTTATGTGGGTTTTGGGGATCTGGATTCAGGTCCTCACACTTGTGCAGCAAGCTCTTTGCCCGGTGGGTCATGTCTTGAGCCTTAGTATCATATTTTTACGGTGAATATATGTCACAAAATTTATCTAAACATATAGAATACACAACATCAAGGGTGAACCCTACTGTAAGCTACAGACTTCGGGTGGTGATGTGTCAGGTTTATCAGCTGTAAAAATAGGTTACTCTGATGGGGGATGTTGACAATAAAGAAGGTATTCAGATAGAAAACTTTTTTTTTTCTTCCTACTATTCTAAAATTCTGAAGTTGATCTAAAAAGATAACTTCCTAAAAACACTTTGGATATATTGGGCTATTAAAACTATGCTATTAAATTAAATTCACTTGATTCTCTTCACTCTTTCATCAGCTACTAAGGAAGTGGCTGGAATTCCATTTCTATTGGGCCAGCACTGACTGTCCTAGAGGCTGGATTATTTTTTGTTCTTTTACATACCTATAGTATGTACAGAAAGTTATGCTTTTTTGTTATTTTATAAAAAGAATATATCATTTGTATGTTCAGCTAAAAGTTATTAGTTACAGAAAATTAGATTTCATTATTTTTTTAAAACAAAATTTGGTTTTTGTATTTCTTTCCTCTTCCCCCCTTCCCCCTCCCTCCTGTGTGTTCCCCCAGCCTTGGTAGCTGTCCTCACACTTTCACGTCACATAAAATTGTTTTCCTCCCCATTACAACGTTGCCTTCCTCTCTTGTGGCCTCCTATCTAGTTTCAAGTCTATACCAGTATTTGCAAGCATCACATTTCAGGATTTCTTTTTTTTTTTTTTTTTTTTTTTTTTTTTTTTTTTTTTTTTACATTTCAGGATTTCTGTATGAGAAAAAAACATGAGCTTTTTGTCTTTCTGAGACTGGGTCACCTTGCTTAATATGATACTCTCTATATCATTTCATTGAAAATCTCATAATTTTGACTCCAAGTAAGCTTCTTCCATCTGTCCATTAAAAAAAAAATGATTGACTGAAATACATAAACAGTTTATACAGATCGAACTTGTGCAAAAGACCTGGAGTGTGGTCACATGCAGCAAGTTTTTTTGTTGTTGAATAGGCATGGTGTTTAAAATGCCCTAGCAAAGCATTGGCATATGAAATGTGCGTTCTTACTTGGACTTGGTGTAGAATGTCCTTGGAAGCAGGAGAGACAAAAAGAACATTAGGAATAAACAGAGTGCTGTAAATGCTCCTTGTTTTTGTTCTAGGGAGTGTGCCTTGGTATTTTGTCCCATTCTTGTGCCTGCAGTCATATGTTGCCTGGACAAAGACCTGCAGCTAAGACCTGTTTGCCCCTTGGCTTCTCACTGCTGCTCTAAGACAAGCTTCCTGTGGGCAAAATCAAGCACTGAGCAGTGATCTCCAAAGTTTTCTTCTTGCTGGTAATTTTCCCACTCTAATAAACTAATTTTTCTTGGGCAGATTTCACGGGAAGTGTTTTAAATGCTGCATGTTGATAGGGGTGTTTGAAAAGCTCCTCTCTCCTTTTCTGTTTCTTCTGCTCGCCTTCATTTTCTCTTATGCTAGAAAGACTGGGTAACAGAACATAAACAAACATCTAGGGGTATACAGAGATTTTTCCAGCCCTTTCTGATGTTCAAACTTTCGCAACTGAAAAAACAATCTCTGAATCAAGTTGACTTCACCTGAGCAGATACCATCTGTTACAGCAGCCCTACACCTCCCCAATCTCCCCCACTTCAAGTCTTGGTAGTGACAGGTGAGTAAGGCCCCCTTTCTCCCAAACCCTGCCCAAGAAGCTGTCAGGCAATATCAGCAGGCAGGAAGTGGGCTGGGGATGAGGGGGTCTCCACCCATTACCAGCTGCTTAAGTAGTAGGCAGGGGTATCCAGGTCAGCAGATACTCCAGACCAATTTACACCACATGCTACCCACTTATGGACTTAAAACACTAGCTAGGGAAGGGACCTGGAATGTTAATCCCCTTGTTTTCTCCATGCCTTGTGTTTGGAATCCAAAAGAATTCAGCAGGAACAGTTGGATTTGGCAGTGTCAAGGGAATTATTAGGCAGCTAGAAGGAAGTGAAAGCCAGCACACACCAAGAGACGCTGTCTATGTGGAACATTGGGTATCAGTGATTAGATGTCAAGACCCATCACTCTCCAAGTGGTGATGTCTTCACACAGGCTTTGTGACTTGCTCATTCAGATATAACCCAAAGACAACTTTGACAGATTATCAGAAACTTTTGGGGAGGGTGATGGGTGGAGTGGGGAAAGCAGTGAGGTAATTTTTAAAAAAAAATGATTTCATCTTTCTAAAAGTACAATAATACCATCACCTCAGTGGTTTTGCTACAGCATCTTCTCATGCAGTGTGGAAGAGAAATTTTTTGGGGGGAAACCTCCAGTAAGTCACTGAAGTTTCATTAGCACTTTAAAATAAAAATATGTACTCCTATTTATCTATCACATCTTAATGCATTTTTAACATTTAACTTTTTCATATTCTACTTTTTAAAGAATGTTTTGCTGTGACTTTATAAGTGCTTAAGGTCTGGGTTCATAATTTTATGAATTGTGTACACACACACACATACACAATTTTTTATATTCCATAATAGTAGGAAAACACTAAATGGTTACCTCTGTGAATGTGTTCCTATTGACCTGCAAACCAACTTTTACCACCTCGAAAGGGTTGACCACAACGGCTTCTGTTAGTCCAGATCCAAGTCCAGCAATGGCAAATGTCTAGGAAAATAAGTCAATCAATGCTTTAAAACAACTGATCATGTTGTGTGTTGGATTAGACATTCTGTTCATTATACAATACAAAAGTCAAGACAAGAACAAAGGACCCTACTAAGTGCCCTATATACCATTACTAAACAGCTTGAATTCTTGATTAGATGCTGACAATTCATGGAGAAGAGATTACAGAAGCCACAAACCACATCCTAATGTTTTCCAAATAAAACGTCAAAGCCCCATCAACAATGATGTTTTCCTTTAACAAAAGGGGAGGCTGTTTGACTGGTTAAAGGTGGATCCTAAAACATCTTCATGCATATAATGGAAGAGTTTAAATTATAAAGGAAGAGCTCCATTTAAAAATATCTCCTTAAATGCATTTATTGAATAGAACCACAAATAAAATGTTTACATAAGGTCACCTCTCAGGTGCATAACTGGAAACATTCAAATGTATAGGCATGTTCTTAGAACTACTGCTTAAGATTATTAACAAACAAAATTATTTTCATTCATTCTCTATTTTATTTTGTTTTTATTCCCAACACGGAGGATCACAGCCAGGGCCTTTTACACAGTAGGCAGAATTCTATCACTGAGTTACATCCCAGCTGTCTTTTGTTTTTAAAGGACTGATTGCTCTATTTGTGCACCTAAAAGCTGACTACTAAACACTGTGATGAGAAATGGCTAGTTGTCCTCAAGGGCTCCCCTAAAATCTAGAACATTGATCAAAGGATAGTTGCATGTCAGATTCTTTTCATCTATGGGTTGAATGTCAGCAATAGAAACCTAATCCCAGTACTTGGGAGGCAGAGGAGGGCAGAGCTCTCTGAGTTGGAGGCCAGCTTGGTTCTACCTAGTGAGTTCCAGGACAGCTGGGACTACATAGAGAAACTCTGTCTCAAAAAAAAAAAAAAAAAAAAAAAAAAAAAAAAGAGAAAGAAACAAGAATCCAAGCTTTCCTAGAAAATGTACACTAGAAATAAGCACAGCAATAATTAAAGCACATATGCATGTAAGCAGAGAAGCAAAACCTTCACCCTACAAAACCCCTTGCTGCTGAACTAGTTCCAGGGAAGACAGACATCTTCTCTTTACTTCATTCATTCCTTCCAGTCTCTGAGACAAGGCCTTTATAGCCCAAGTTGGCCTTGAATTCTCACAGTGATTCACCTGCCTCAACCTTCCAAATGTTTGGATTACAAGCATGCACCATACCTGGCTTCAGATGGTCCTCATTTAGTGTTTCTGATAATTTAAAGATAAGAGAGAAGAAGAGAGATGGGAGTAAGAGATGTTCCGTATCCTTAAAGTAGAGGCAGGGTTGACTGAGGAACAGGAGTGTGGGGAGGTTGAAATGTAGCCCACACCCCACCTGCCAAGTGAGAGCCCCAGAGAGACAGTGGCCAGGAGAGGGGAACAGCTCTCACACTGACACCATCTGTGCTGCTGGGGCTATGTGCTCATCACAGAGCTCGGGATAAGCCAGTTCCCTCGTCTGTACAATAGAGAAAGTAATGTCGAGTTTCTCTACAAGGGTCAAAGTAATGCATGGATGTCCTTTTAAATCACTTTCCAAACATGGCTGCTCTGGTTTCCCATGAAAAAAGAGGAGGAGTGGAGTTGCACACAGATTCGAGGAGAGAAGGAATACTAATGATGATTTCCCTTTCTCCCACTTCATTACAATTTTAAGCATAATTTGTTTGGGGTAACTGACCAAGTATTTTCTCATTTATCTCAGACTTCCATCATGGAGTCCAGTAAGCAGGGAGAGAGAAAAATAAACCAGCCCCAAACTCTTCTGACTGGGAAAGCTAAAATCCAGATGTTAGGGTTTTATTACTCACTGTATGCAACCTTCCAAGTAATTCACTTTTTTTTGTCCCTCTATAAAGCTCAGCTACATCTGCTGTCAGAGCTAGCATTCAGCAGTCCCTTGTCAAAAGAATTGATCAGATATCAGCAGATCATGTTACTTAGATTGTTGCAGAGGCAGGCCTTTGCTGTCGGGTTTCCAGCCCTGGCTTTCATGTGAGCACCAGGGCATATTTAACGGCTAAATGCCTCACTGTATCCAAAAAGAAACGGGAGTAAATGAGCTCAAGAAGAGAAGAGGACCGAATATGGTTTGCATGAGTTCGTTTATAGTGGATGGAGTGGCCAAATACTTTTCCATTTCAAATCTTGAGTCAAAAGACTTGCAGTGTCTCGCATGGTACCCGTGTGCAGCTCTGAAACAGCCAGCCAGTCCTTTGGAGGCCATATTTTGTTTACTCCTAATGGAAGTCTTTAATCTTCTTTTTCTCAAGATGTTTCCAAAGGAAGATACTGTGGAAAAGTCACACACACACACACACACACACACACACACACACACACACACACACACACGTTTTTTTGAGACAGGGTCTTACCATGTAGTTCTAGCTGTTCTGGAAATTACTATGTAGACCAGGTTGACTCACAGAGATCCGTTTTCCTGCCTCTGCCTCCTGAATGCTAGGATTCAAGGCATGAACTCCACATCACTCCAGGCATGGAATTTAAAACAAAACCTTATCCACCTGAGATTCCTGGTATAACTGCTCCTATCTACAAGAGCATGCCTCGGCTACCCTGTTGAGTCAGGAGGTTGGCTTGGGAGCTTTATCTAAAAAGATCCTTTCTAGAAAGTGGGCATGTAAGAATTTTGAGGATAAGAACTACTTTTTTGACAATCTGTTAGAGTAAACATTCTGAAATAAATTTTTACAAGGAAAGGATATATAGTCCCTGATACACAATGTCCTAATCTACATTTCTTTTTTTTTTTTTTTTTGCCTTTATGATGGTGCAAAAACAAAGCACACTTCACACTTTGATTTGATCTTTTCCCAGGCCAACAGTGCCATAAGAGCTCACGATGCTGGGTAGAAGAAGTATACCACAGCTCTCAGCTGGTTATTCCTTCAGGAAAGTAAGCAACCAATACTTTATAGCATATGCTAATACTTACCTGTGATGCTCAGTAAGTTGGATGTACCCAATGCATTTTTTTTTTAGCTTACAATGGTTTTATAATCAAAGAGCTGAAGGCAAAAATGTTGCTTTCCAAGAAGAATTTTGAGGTTTTAGCAGCCAAGCAGGGATTTTCCTAGAGGAGAGACGTCACATTGCCATGCAGAGCGATGACACATAGTTTCGTGTTTCCTTTTGCAGACTGGAAGAAGGAGGTTCGTGCAATTGCTCTCTCTGGGGCTCTCAGTGAACACACATTTGGTCAATATAATTTAACTTGCTTTACAAAAGGGAGCAAAGTTGCCAGTTGGTGGTTTAATCCCAGCACTCGGGAGTCAGAGGCAGGTGTATCTCTGTGAGTTCGAGCCCAGCCTGGTCTTCAGAGTGAGTTCCAGGACAGGCTCTAAAGCTACACAGAGAAACCCTGTCTTGAAATACCAAAAAAAAAAAAAAAAAAAAAGAAAAGAAAAGAAAGAAAGGGAGCAAAGTCCCCAAGCAGGGAGGAATGACACAGAGCAGTGACCAGTCACCAAGTGAGCTTTGTGAACTACCTGAGCTGTGCCATTGTAGGATTCGTATTCTCCCCAGCTGAGTTGTTTACACTCATTCCAATAAAAGGCCCTTCAGTCTGCCTCTGACCACAGAGTGACTTTATCCCAAGTGACTTGAAGTCCTATAAATATAGGACTTAAATACTACAGCTTGAGCAACAGCTGGGAAATTGACCTGTTAGGAAATAATCTCAGGCGTATTGACTTCTGCATAAATAGATACATGCAGTGTGTATGTAAACAAATGCATGCTTTGGTTTCCAAAGGTGAATGTAAGTCTTTATTTTATGTTCTTGACCATATCTTATAGAAGCCTTTCCAGACATATCATTATTATCGTAAATTCATCACTGAGAGCTATAAAATAGCCAGATTGTGAGTTATTATGAAGATGGCTTTCAGCAAGTAGCTGAACATTGAATAACTCAAATTCATATTTTAGTAGCTGGGATTTGGGAATCAAAAGGGTTTTTGTTTCTGGATCTTGCTTTATGAAATAACATACACACTTAAGTATAATAAATATTCTCACTTACCAGCCCCGGTGATAGTGACACAGATCCCAGCAATTTCTTGTACTGCTCAAAGGTGGAAAACTGTGAAACCAAACCAAACCTAGAGATTTATAACAATTTCCTGCAACAAACTCTCTAATTGGCCAAAAGTCCTTTAGTAAATCATTATATTAATCAGCATTTAAAAATGATGAACCATCTAACATAGCTTTTAATCCTGTCTGGAGCTGTTGCTATAAGATGCCATTTTAACATTCCCATTTTTCAAATGTAGTTATAATAACTTACAGAAAATCTGATGGAATCCCTTATAGCAGTAAATGAACCATACAACTCCCATTTACCATGGCCGTTTTCAGTTTCCCCAGACATCAATAGACTTCTTTCTTATGGCAGTGATTCAAAATTATAGGCCCAGAGACCTGAAATCCTTGGTCTTATATGTTTTTTCTATGAACCGCTTTCCAAGAAAAGACCCCATTTTCTAACACACTTGGAGAAGACATCCACTTCTCAGCCTTGCATGTACAATGCTCATTCTCCTGATAGCTTCATGGAATATTTAAACATTAAGTTGATTGCAAAGATGCCATGATAAACTAGGGAAGGGCCCATCAAGTTTATCTAGCCCACTCCCTTGCCCCAAAGAAAGACGGTTCTCAATCTTGTTCCTTCCTTTAGGATCTGAAGATAATGACAATGGAGAACAGGGATCAATAGCGATGCTGTTGGCACCTCCAGAGGATAGGAAGTTGCACAAACATATTTTTTTTTCAGAGCAAAATGAAATAATCCATTCATATAATAAATTTCTCTTTTTTTCTTTCCCTGTATTCTATATTTTGGAAAACAACTCTTCTTGGGCAGGATATTTTGTTTCTGAGTTACCAGTATCAACGATAGTAAGTTGTACTCTTAGGACCTGCAGTATCTGAGTCTCAAGAACCAAGAAATGGATGGTAAATCATGCTGTTCTTTATAGCTTAATAAAATAGAACAAGGTAAAGAAAAAATAGGGTTTTGGGGACTAGTTACACTCTATGGTTAGAAAGAGGTCGTTTCTTGTGTACATGGCCTCTGGAGTCCTTAGGTAGCCCAAGAATCATTTACTAACAGATTGACACTTCTTATTCTTTTAGAGAATGGGATCATTGCCATGACACTTTAGATGAAGTTTTGATCCAGACTTTTCTAGAATAAAGATTTGTTCATTCACTAACGAAGTATTTACTAGATTCCTCTCATTCTAGGCACTCAGAACACAGCAAACACAGCACACCGCTGCTTTCCTGACCCCACACAGCAGACACTATTGCTGCTTTGGTGAGAAACACACTAGAAGCCTTAGAAATCATTCCAGAAGGAAAAATAGAAGTCTTAGGTATTTGTTTGTTTCTTTGAGACAAAGAGTCATTATATAACCCAAGCTAACCTAGAACTCACTTTTGTAGTCTATATTGCACTTGAACACACAGCAATCTTCCTTCCTCCGCCTTTTAAGTGTTGAGATTGTAGGTGTGAGCTACCTGCTTGGCTCTGCTATTAGGCTTTAAAGAACATCCACTTCTCTTTCTGTGATTGTTATCACCATCACTGTGTTTAGACCATCACTTTGCCAGGCTTTTGAAGTGAGCAGTATACATCTGAAGCCTGCCTATGCCACTTCATCATGAAAGCATGAGAACATTGCTTCACCTGTCCAAACGTCAACTGCAAAAACCTTAGCTATTAGAGTTGTCATGAAATAATATAATACAACTAGGATTCCCTGACACGAGACTTAGACTTAGGAAAATTTGTTTCTATTTCATGTCTTTACTTATGTTAACAGAGGAACCACTGATGTTGAAATCCTGAAAGTCTGTTGTGGTCCAGGAACATGCTAAGATCTTGCATGTAGTACTCTACTGAATCCACATGACAATTTTGTCAGACGAGAGGAGAGGGTATGGGCTATACCTCAGTAGTGGTGCGCTTTCCTGGCATATAGAATGCCCAGTGTTCAGTCTCTAGTTCTTAAAAAAAGAGGGGTTAGGATGTACTCATGAGCCACATCTCACTATAGTCATTATGTTGGTTTCTTGTCCCGTATACCATTTTGGAATCAATTCTCTACACTGGCATTGGGTCCTGAATATTTTGGGAGATGATGGGCCTCATAGAAATCTTCACTACCTTAGTAATTTACTGTGTGAGATGCATTTGTTCAATGTTTATTTATCTTTTTTCCTATCTGGCTTTCTGTCATTTCAGGGATTAAAGACAAAACTGGGATTTCAAGGAAGAAGTCCAGGGACATAGACTCAGCCCACAAGTCTATCAACACTTACGAGGATTTTCAAGCATATGCCTGGGGACAATTCTAGTCATTTTTATTTTCCTATCTCTATTTTTCTTTTTGTTTTCAGACCATGCTCATTAAAAAACCTATTGAGAAAACTCTCATCCTAGATGTTCTGTCCTTGGACACAGTTGAGTTGTATGAGAGCATGAGCCATTCAGATCTTGCTTCTAAGATGGGAGCTGAGAAGTGCTCCCTGCAGAACTCATCTCTACTCTTACAGAAAGATCTCTCCGAGTACTCTTCTCACTGCCCTTTGAAAGCAGAGGCTTTCCAGACTGACTGGCAAGCACAGGGACCGCTCCCAGCTACGCACTATCCAGCTCTGGTCCTCTAGTCCTCTGGGAGAGTTCTTTTCTGGGTGGTAGGAGTTCTCTCATAGGCTTACACTGCTGAATACCAGAGGGGATTTCTCTGTCTCTCTCTCTGTCTCTCTCTATCTCTGTCTCTTTCTGTCTCTCTGTCTGTCTGTCTGTCTGTCTGTCTGTCTCTCTCTCTCTCTCTCTCTCTCTCTCTCTCTCTCTCTCTCTCTCTCTCCCTCTCTCTCCTGTCAGTGCCAGTAACCTTACTTTTCCTAGAGTCTGATCTCCTTTACAAGGAGTCTCCTGGGTTCTGCCTCTATTTCCCTCCTTACTTAGGGCCTTTCATTGGGGCATTCATAGGCTCATCTTCTTTGTTTTCCCTCTCCCAGATGTTACCGTCCTTCATTGTGTGATATTAGTATCTTTAAACAGAACTACCGCTTCATGTATTTTGTTTATTGTTACTGTTCATGATGTTGCTCATGAAGGAGAGTTAATATGGCTGTTACTCCATCTCGATCAGAAGTGGAAGTCTTGGCCTTCAAGATACTTTGAATAGGAAATGTGGGGATTTGGAGAAATGGAAGAGATTATCTCCAAATATGAACTCTTTTTCCTATAAGTTTCTTCCTGTTTCATTTACTCATTTGAACATCAAATACGCGTGGACACCACAGGAGGTGAAGATACACAGTAGCGCACATGCAGACTTCACATGCTTATAACTGCCCATGAGTTGGGTCAGGGTAAAGAGTCCTGGTAATTTGAACAAAGAAAACAATTGCATTTCTGGCCTTGGAAAGCTGAATAGCAGACCCTAGAACCCAGAACATGCTTCTTCCCATCTCTCAGTGTCTCTGCCTGAGTCTTGTCTTCATTTCTGTCTGTTGATTGCAGTTTGATTCTGTCTTCATTTTTGGAAAGAAATATTATTATTTTAATTATGAACCTCATTTCAAACAGTAAAATACAGACAAGCATAAAATTGCCTGTTTCTGATTATGGGAACAATTGTAACTAAAGCGTCCATCCCAAGGAAAACATACATACATGATGTATGCACGTAGGTGTGTGCACACATGCATGTGCGCTTATGTGCATACATACACACAAACATTCCTGAATATTTTATTCAGAGGTAAATTTCAATGACACACAATGAGATAGTTTATGAGGTATGAAATCGTTACAATCAGATGGTTACTTTTCCCAAATCCTAAGATAAATACCTATAAAATGAATGCTTTCATAAACTGTGTTGAAAAACTAGTGTTATCCATCTGGCAAAGATACACTTAACTACAAGCTCTACTTAAAAAGCCAATGTACTTACCATATGTCTCAATAGTTTTAAGGTAAAATCTACTGGCAACAAGATGTCTGGGACACATCCACCATATCCAGTTGCCCAACAGTTCATCTGTTAACCATTGTTCTGGCACGGAGCACTGCTCTATTTTATTTTTTTAGAGACTAACTCAGTTTTGTAAGGCTCGAGTTTTTTTTTTTTTCTTCTTTTTTTTTGTAAAGGATTGTTCAACATTGATAAAACTTAATCCTCTTAAAGTGTAAATTGTCTCCAATATATAGCATTAAGGGAAATGACTGCAGGAAGAAGTCTAATTACAATTTACTTTATTTATACACGGAAAACACTGAACAAATGAATATATTATTCCAGGGAGACAAAGTGACTTTCCTTTTGAACAGGAACTCTGTTCTGTTTGTTTACTTGGGCAATCTTTTATCAAGTGAAGCCGTCTCATAATTCAATTCAGCCCTTTTGTGTACTTTGGTGAACTTTTTCCAGATCCTCTACTGCGATTCAGATCCTTATAATGAAATTTGTATTGAAGCAATAATATGAGAGCACAAAATGTACAGCAACAAAGAAGACACGTTTATAGAGAAAGTATGTTTTGAAGTGTTCTTTTCTGAACTTGAGACCTGAATTTAAATTCTATTACATTACTATTTGACTTAATGCAAAAGTTTGATGTTTGTGTATATATGTTGGTTATTTCATCATGTTTTTAAACCCAGTCATTCCCTTAATTTACTCAGTAACAGCATGTAAGCTGTTCCTTCTTGCCTTTCAGGAATATCGGGGATAGAAATTGAGTATGTGAAAAAGCTTCATGCCATTAAAATAAATGGCATAAAGTTGGAAGGAAGTCTTTACATTTATGTTTATGTTATTTTTTATAGAAAGACAAAGCCATATTTGGTGATGTCAGAGATGGGGGTGGGTGGGAGGGCCATGCCAGATTGAGCTACTGCAATTAGGATTTTTTTTTTTGCCTGAAAGAACACTGGGAAATAGTGTGGAGGTCTTTTATCCTTCGAGGGTCTGGCACACATCCATGGAAACACACTCAACACCAGTGAGTAGTACACAAACCTCCAGAGTCATACATTAAAGAAATGGAAATAATAATTTTGTAAGCACCAGAAGAGAATTTTAGCAGAAGGTATTAAAGGGGGAAATAAAGTTGACTTGTTAAAAACATTATGTAAGAATCATACACAAATAAACAGTATACTTCATGAGACAGAAATGATTTAAAGAGTGATTTTCTACTTCTTTTTCTTTAATAGTCATTGCTCCAAAGGAACATTTCTGAATTGCTTAAGAAAAGGTCCACGTGATTTTTGTAGGTTTTGTGATTTAATTACTTGAGTCTCAGACACTGCTCTCTCTCTCTCTCTCTCTCTCTCTCTCTCTCTCTCTCTCTCTCTCTCCTTCCCTCCCTCTCTCTCTCTGTGTAAGTAATTTCCTCATCAGAAAGAAGCACCTTTACCTGAAAAAAACCCTACAAATAAATAAGTATATTTGAAAGACTGACCATGTCTAATTATAACAAAGATTGATTATGCTACAATTTCTGCATTAAAAGTTTTAGTATTTTACATTAAGTGATATTAGTGCTCCCTTCATTACTATGGGTGTCTTGATATTGTGTGTACACTTGGTGGGAAAGCACTCAGTACTTACCTTGACAGCTCTTTTTGGTGTTTCAGCTAAAATGGGTGGTAGAATTCCTTTGTAAAAGCCAAAAAACCTATTGGAGAAAGAAAATATTGCTATTTAAGTAAGAAAATTGACATCAGAAAATTCTGCTTTTGTTTATGAATAAAGAAACAATCTAATCTAGCATACCAATTATGAAGTTCGCAGTTCTAGAGTGAAGATAAGAATCCTGTGTCTATCACTGCTATGACACTAAGAAGATAGCTGAGTGATTCCAAGCCTGGAGCCCTGTAAGCAAGCTGAGAAACGTGGCCACAAGCTCTACCTCACAGACACGTTTGACTCTTCTCCATTCAGGGGAGTTTTATTTTCTCTGTGTTGTAGTTCACTTCAAGTTATCTAAGGTCTTTTATTTCCTCAATTTTGGTAACCAAATGAGATTAGGGTTATACCCAATTGTAGTAGATTGAACCTTTTTGAGATCAGCAAGCCAACGTAACCTTTAATTTGGGCTTTATTAGTTAGTTCTGAGTCTGTGAGATTAGGTCTCCCATTCCATCCCAAGTTAGTTATGTATACTTTTGACGTTCCTTAGTGGAAGGGGAAGAAGCTTGAGGAGGGCCAGGTTTAAGGTTATGTAGACTGGGCAGAGGAAAAGTTAGACTCTTTCCACGTCAACACTGAGGATACTGTGGGAATACATTTAGACAAGAATAAATTTTGCATGAGTGTCAAATGCTTCTGATCAATTAAAACCCACCATTTTTTTTTTCTTACTGGGTTCTAGGAGTCAAAATTTTAAGCCCTACTGTCTAAGAAGCTTGAGGCACCTACCACATCTCTTTTTCCACCTTGCCATTATATAAATAGAATATTTTGCTGCATTTTCTGAAGTAATCCATTTTCTTGATATAGTGGCTACAGAGAAGGGTGAGACTCAATATGTCTCTGTTTTAGGATGTCCATTTGACATGGGACAGAAGCTCCTCTGAGTGATGCCAAGCTTTGCTCTAGCTTCCTCACATTGAGTCTGCTTTTCTGTATGTTTCTAGAACAAAAAGTTAAGAGCTTACTCCAGCTGACCTTGTGTTACCCACCCAAACACAGTGACCTCTTGCTTTTATCAACTCATTGGCTTAAACGGCAAGCTCAAAGGAGCAAAGGTTTGTGTTGTGTTTCTAAATTGTTAATAGCACCTTCAGGGTCGGGTGCTGGGTGGGATCTCACCTTGGAGTCCTTTTCAAGCATATAACAAAATTTTGTGAAGTATGACTTTTGATACACATTTACTTTGCCCATTGGTTTTGCCTTAACAGAGACTATGAATATCATGATTGGAAATAAAGAAAACTCAATGTGAAGAATTACAAGAATTTACAAATTGCCAAATCTCATTTTATTCCAATTTTAATTACGGATGCCTACAGTTTTCACATCACCCCCTCCCCACCTCAACACACTTGTAAAACTTAAAGCATTTAAATTTCATTTAAGTGAATTACTTTTCATTTTTCGGCACACAAGTACAGGCTTGGTCTTCCCACTAGATACATGCCATTTTTTGTGACTAGAAGTTGTACAGCTATAATTAAGGCAGCCCCTAGTGTTGTTCTTTCTGTGCAGACCTTTTCATATCTGAAAAACTATTGGTAGATATGAGGGGAAAATTAAGAGGAACACATAAGCAAAGTTTTAAAAACAAAGTATTCAGGGTAGTGGTGGACTTGATGGCCTATATTCCAGAAGCAGAGAGCAGTTAGAAAGGAAAGATACTAAGCAGTCAACAACCTTAGGCAGAGGTGCAGTGAATGACGGTTCTCTTGAGAGGCGTGCATGTGGGGAAGACACTGGAATCCTCTGTTTCCAGGGGGAGGAACTGGGACCAAGAGCTGGAAGCAGCGAAGAAAGACAGATTTCGGCCAGTTGGATTTTTATTGAAATCACTTTTCATAGGCACAACTATCCAGAGATGGAACGGCTTTTCCTGAAAAGTGGTGAGTTCTACTTTGACATATGGTCAAACAACCTGAACGCCCACCTGTCATGGGTACCAGAGACGAGATGTGTTTGGCAATGGGTGAGCTTGATGATTCTCAGAGTTGGTCTTTTTCAATCATTCTGTAACCCCAAGAATAGACCAAGAGAACAGGAGCAACCTTGCCTTACTTTAGACTTTTGTCTCAAGTATAGCATGACTTCTCTGGAAGAGGATTGTCTCATAAGTAACACAAGGACTTCATTTTAAAAGTGATGGGAGAGAATATTAAAAAGAGGTGTAAGGCAGGAGGGAACAGAGAGGCAGCTGGGAGTAACATAAGGGTTTAATCTGTAAAGAGCTGGGAGGTCCAGGGCCCTCTGCTTCATGTTGGTGATGCTTCATTGACGGGCCCTCCTTCTCCTCTTTCTGCTCAGCTCCTTTTATGTACAGTAATCTTGCCTCAACATCCTGAGCCTTATAACGTACATGGGCAGTTTTAACTGGAAGTTCTAAGAGATCCTAGGCACCCTTGGGTGGCAAATGGAACTCTAGAATCATGCACTTTCCCGCTTTGTTTTCACAGAATATCCATGCAACAGTACTCGTGTACTGATGGTCATGCCAGCACTGCTTCTGTGGAGAACTGCCACAAACCAAGTCTATTGAAATAACGGCGACCAGTTTATTAACACAGTATGAGACAGCTGGGAAGCAGGGCTTGGTCAGACACCTTGCTCAAATGGATCCAAGTCATATTCTAATTCTTTAATGTGACTCGAGCCAGACCTGTTTGAGTTTTTCTCCAGGATTTAGGAATTGGTACTGAAAAATCACAGTCTTGCTTGGTGTGGTTCAAGCTCCAAAATATAAAACCGGGTTATCAGCAGTGGCCATGTTTCTGTCATTTAGAGGAAGCCAATCTGCTGTGGCAAAAGAGAGAAAAGAAAAAAAGGAAGCCCTATTCAGAGAGACTGGAAAGAAGAAAGGGAAGAGAATCTGGTGCTCAGATTATTATTCTACCACAGGATTTCTTTAAACTCAGTTACATATAGACCACTTTTGAATATTTTCCCCTGATTTTAATTCTCTGAGATACCCTGCAACATCTTCAGTAAAATTTTACTTAAATACAATTGAACTATGTTGACTACTTATAGCCCAGAGTCCTGGATCCAGAAAGTATGCCTTAATGGTCCCAATGGCCAACATGGCTTCTGCAGGCCTTCTGTGCCATGTCCTCTAAGGAAGAATTAAAAAAAAAATCTGTTAAGATTGTCCCTTGGGCCAACAGGAAGAGTTGCCAACAAAATGTGGGAAGGAGAATGTGAGGACGTCCCAAGCTGATGCTGTATCTCTGGCTTGATTTGGTAGTGGGTTGAAGTCTCTTTTTGCAAAACAGGATGCACAGATTTAAAAACTTCAAGAGGGAATGACTTATTTGGTGAAAGGTATTTTTCTACCTTTGTCTAGAACTATGTGCACTGTGCATTTCATGTGCTTCTGGCTTGTTGTATGAGTTTAGTTTGCTGTGTTTCAGAGCAAAATTAGGGAAGTAAAGAGATTGGTGACGTCCATGTCAACATGGTGCATATTATCTACCTCTTGAGAGGCAGATAGCTGCCTTCAATCTGTGTGCTGGATGAATGGAGAGTGAATGAATGGAGAGTGAGAATGCACATGTTGATGAAGCCTTGCTGGCAGTTCCTCCCCGGGTAAGACAACTCATGGGTCAGTCTGCTTTTAAGATTGAACCTGCATCAAGCCAAATAGAAAAATCTTTGGATGAGGCTTACAAGACATTTCATAAAAGTGTACTATAAACTTTGGGACTGAAGAGATGGCTCAGTGGTTAAGAGCTGTTGCTGCTCTTGTAGAAGACCAGAGTTTGGTTCCCAGTACCACGTCAGGAAGCTTACAAACACCTGTAACTTCAGCACCAAGGAACCTGATGCCCTCTTCTGGCCACTTTGGGTACTTGTACTCAGGTGTTCATACCATCATGCAGACAACCCCACTCCCATCCCCATAACCCTCCACAAACACACAATTTACTTTTTAAAATTTAAACATGTACCCCATCCCCTAGGCCCACAACTCTGGCAGCTTTGCCAGATACATTGAACTTGGTAGAAGAGAAAATGGGGAATAGCCTTGAATACATTGGCACAGGAGACAACTTCCTGACTAGAACACCAATTGTGCAGACACTAAGCTCAACAATTAATAAATGGGATCTCATGAACCTGAAAAGCTTCTGTGAGGCAAAGGACATTGCCAAGAGGACAAAACAGCAGCCTAGAGAATGGGAAAAGAACTTCATCAACCCCACATCTGACAGAGGGACAATTGCCAAAATATATAAAGAACTCAAGAAACTAGATATCAACAAACTAAATAATCCAATTAAAAAATGGGGTACAGATCTAAACAGAGAATTCTCCAACAGAGGAATCTCAAATGGCTGAGAAACACTTAAAGAATTGTTTAACATCCTTAGTCATCAGACAAATGCAAATAAAAATGACCCTGAGATTCCACCTTGCATCTGTCAGAATGACTATTGGAAACACAAGTGGCAGCTCATGCTGGTGAGGATGTGGAGCAAGGGGAACATGCCTCTGTTACTGGTGGATGTGAAAACTTGTACAGCCACTTTGGAAATAAATTTGGTGGTTTCTCGGAAAATTTGGAATCAACCTACCTCAAGATCTAGCTATACCACTCCTGGGCATATAACCAAAAGATGCTCTACTATATCACAAGGACACTTGCTCAACTACGTTCATAGCAGCTTTATTCATAATAGCCAGAAACTGGAAGCAACCTAGATGTCCATCAACCAAAGAATGGATAAAAAAAATGTGATACATTTACACAATGGAGTATTACTCAGCTGTTAAAAACAATGACACCAGGAAATTTGCAAGAAAATGGTTGGAACTAGAACAGGTCATCCAGATTAAGGTAATCCAGACCCAGAAAGACAAACATTGCATGCACTTACTTACATATGAATATTAACTGTAAAGTAGAGGATCACTAGGCTACAATCCACAGACCCAGAGAATCTAAATTACAGGGAGGCCTCAAGGGGGACACCTGAATCTCACTGT